AAAAGATAAATGAAATTCAAAGTAATATAAAATTGGGTGTTGGTGTTTGGGGCATGTTTGTTGTTTTGAAATCGTGCCCTTTTCGATGATGGGGGGGGGGGGGTGTAGGTGTTTATGACAACCCTGGCTTGTTTTCACAGAGCTACGTGAATGCTCAGTCTAGATGAAGGAAAACGGTTTTTTCCCTGTAATGATGAGGGGGTTTTATTGCTACTCTACAGGCAAGTAATTAAACCAAAAAGGGGAAATCTCGGGGTTGTCCCTCTCCATCAAATTAACTCGTTGATTGGCAGGTGACCCTTTGTCACCAAATGGAAAAAATAGACAGGTTTCCCCCCGCTTAAGAAAACACTTCCATGTAAATACAATACCTAAAAGATGTGGTGATTTTTACAAAAAAGCAACTTGAGCAAGACTGAAGGACTAAGTTTATTATGGTCAAAAGTGAGCTTTCAAAACCAAAAAATCCACTGAATACAAGGCAGGCTGTTTTACAGTATGCTGGGAGTGGAGTCTAGTGTTCTGTTTGGACGGAGCCCAACATCACCCCTTTGGGGGGGGGGGGGGAAAGGGGGGGAAGGGATAGCGGGAGCTAAATGCCCTACCTTAAAAAGTAGCCGAAGCAAACTTTTATTTCGGGGAGGGGAAAAAAAAGGCGGGAAAAAAGCGGGGCTTGATTACCCCACTTAACAATAGCCCCGCAATGAAACTTTGTTATTATATACTCCCTCGCATCCTACTATGAATTTTCCCTCACAAAAGCCCAAACAGAGGACCCTTTCATGGGGGGTTTGGGTACCCTCACCTGCCTACGTCAGAAAAAATGGGTATGAAGGGCCCGGGTGCCGTAAAAAAGGGGCTAAAGGTTGCACGGTTTCCCGGGTACGGGGGGACCCCACCTCCCCGGTCCACCACCGCTGCCTCAGGAGCGGGGGACATAGTGACAGGCCTTTGAGACTGTGGAAATAGACTATACTGGGGCTATCACATTGAAGAACCTAGGAGACAATAGGGTGGGCCCTCAGAAAGTATGTGTCTGCCTGTTTACTTGTGCCACTACTCGAGCCGTGCATTTGGAGTTGGTGGAAGATATGTCGACAGAGACTTTCGTGAAGTTGTTCAGGAGGTTTACAGCCAGATTCTCGTGCCCGTGATTGATTATCTCGGACAATGGCATGAGCTTCAGAGCGGCCGATAAAGTTTTCAGGAATCTCAGGGACAACAGAGAAGTACGAGAATACCTGAAGAGAATAGAGTGTGAGTGGAGGTTCATAGCTCCCAGAGTGCCTTGGCAAGGGGGATTCTATGAACGCATGGTGGGCACAGTCAAAAGGTGCATTCGGAAGGTCTTGCATGGCAGGAGAGTGAGCTTTGATGAACTGAGGACAGTGTTAGCTGAGATAGAGGCAAGAGTCAATAACAGGCCTCTGACCTATGTGCAAAATGGGATTGACGAGCAGGAAGCTCTCACCCCCAATCACATGCTGTTTGGAAGGAGGATTGAGCCCTTCCCCGCAATTTTGAGTCAGTCTTCCAAGAAGCTGGATTATTATGGGCCAGATGGTCCCCCCATCAATGAAGAACTGCACAGGAGTCACAACAGACTGGTGAACATCCTGGACAAATGGGTTTACTTGACAGCCCTGCGGGAACATTTCTATGGTGCAGACCCCGATGCAAATAAGATGATGCTAAGTGAAGGAGACCTGGTGCTAGTAGAATCTGAGGTGCCCAGGGCATACTGGCCTCTTGGCCTGGTAGTGTCGACCCACCCAGACAAGGCTGGGCGGTTGAGAATGGTAAAGGTGAGAATGAATGGTGTCGAGACTATAAGACCCATCAACAGGCTTTTACCTCTCAAGATCCACACGGTCCACCGGGACATGAGAAGTTAGACCAGAGGCTGACCGAGCTGAGCGGCCGGATGACCCGCTGAATGATGCTCAAGTCCAGGGCCCACTGGGAGGGCCTGCGGGAGGCAGACTTCATCTAGACTTAGCACCTACCTTCGCCGGCGGGAGGATGTGGAAATTTATTTGGTCCCTAAAGTTCCACAGGACAGATACGGCATACAAAGGGGTCCCAGCATGGCCATAATGGAATGGCTGAGCTGGGTGGCCCTTACACCCAACCCAAACAAAAGCGTTCTCTCCCAAGTTGGCGTGGATGGTAGGCACTTATTAATTTATAGATTTGCCCTTCAGGGGAGAAGTAGGTAGTTTACTGTTAGTACACTAATTATGGAAAATTTTATAGGAGTGATTACTTTTACGTACCTCAACATTACATGCATACGAGTAATCTCCTTGGGAGACAACTACGATATTGTTTACCGTAGTCACCCATGCAGACATGTGAGAAAACTTAACCACCTCTGGTCACTGCAGGTGGCCCCTCGACCCTCACGATCTTATCCATATCTATCCGAGACCAGTATAAATTGGGTAGCACCCTCAAGTACGGCGCTACTAATTAATTGTGGACTGTATAGATTATATTAGTTTAACTGAATGAAGGGGGGGGGGTAGGTTACACATGGATATACCCATCAAGGAAAAAAACACTTGTACATAAGATAAGATAAGATAAGATTTCGTTCGGATTTTTAACCCCGGAGGGTTAGCCACCCAGGATAACCCAAGAAAGTCAGTTCGTCATCGAGGACTGTCTAACTTATTTCCATTGGGGTCCTTAATCTTGTCCCCCAGGATGTGACCCACACCAGTCGACTAACACCCAGGTACCTATTTGCTGCTAGGTGAACAGGACAATAGGTGTAAGGGAACGTGTCGGAATTTCCACCTGCCAGGAATCGAACCCGGGCCCTCCGTGTGTGAAGCGGGAGCTTTAGCCACCAGACCACCGGGCTACATAATCCCACCACTTACCAGATATTCTCTGGTGGTCACTTGATGTGGCTGGATCACCCATAACCTATCCAATTAAAACATACCTAACTGGCCAGTATCAGTCTGCTATAACTAGAAAGGTTACTTAACTGTGGGTGATTGATGCTCCTTATTTCCTCCATTCACCATCTCTTTTCGATGTCCTGCTACACCGACACGGTTCTTATTCCAGCAGGACGAGGTATCCATTGGTTTGTCCCAGTTTAGAAGTCGTGATTCCATATAATTTCGCTATCCTCAGGACGAGAACCACGCGTTCACTCGGAGCAGGGCGATTTATTCCACTTCCCGCATTCTCTTAACTTAATGTTATTATCACTGATTACATTACCATTCACAAGACGATTTAACGTCTCATAATTATTATACACATTAGAGGTCATTCCATTAAGATCTGAGACCGATGAGTGAGGATTAACTCATGGGAAATTTCCCCTGGACACATTCTGGCGGCGCACACGTCACTCACGGTCCTACTATTATCCACTTATTTTACCACTTTATCACGGTGGTCACATAAATCTCGTTCCCTCACTCTTCACCAGGAACAATTACGACACTTCCTATTAGGAAGTGAGGCCTATATTAATCCTTAGGCCGCCTTGAATGCCAATTTCCTGATCCCATGTTTCACAGCTTCCTCACTCACTACATTCAAAACACTCCCGCCACCCCGTGCCCCAGTTCCACTTATACCCCCGCACATCTGCGCAGGCGCAGCGGGAACCCAGTTGGTTCCATTCAAAATACAAATACATTTTGACCCAAATCAACACATTAAACACTTATTATGCACTATAGCTTCGGAAATTAAATAATTTCCACACTAATATTAGGATTATTGAGGCAACTGTAGATAATAATAATGTAGACCTAAGACCTTAACATAGGTAGTAATAGGCCAGTAATGTAGGCAAACACTAGGTTAAGTTAGCTAGGGAGAACTGGCAGCCCTAGTTTGAATGACGAGGAGTGGGTCTGGGAGGGATCAGCTCGTTCTTCTATGACCAGACATCACCTGGACAAGACGTGCCATGATCAGCAGACGGCGCCCCCCATGTGTCTTCACATATGAGACCTGTTGAAATCTGGTAGAGGCACCTCGATGTACCATAGATGACCTCCTCCGTCAGGCTCATACAGTAAGACAAGACCTCCACCTTTTCCGTAGGATTTCTGGCCAGTGTCTGTGGAAAATTGTGAGTGAGTTGATCTGTTGGCCTGTGTGCAGCTGGCAGTGCATGTCCAGTACGTACCAGCGTCTCTTGTCAGTCTAGAAGCTAGTGTCCTTGTCTGCATAGTTATACTAGGGGATACACACCCTCTTGGATATAGGAATTTCTGAGGTGCAGGCAGGTCACTAATATCGATTGAATATTGCAGGAATTAAGGCTCCTGGTTGCACGTGGTTTCCGAGGGGAAGTCCAAAAGGGCTAAGCTTAGGAAGGTTGAAGATCAGGATATATGCTGCAACACCAAGTAAGTTAGTCCTTTATACGTGCATGCAGGCGAGTTTCTTGCAACATCAATCATTTGTGAAAATCTATCCTATAAGCCACTTGTGAGGCTGAGGTACCGACCTCAGAGCTCGGTGTCAACAGAGTTTGCCAGGGTAGGCGACTCACTTGGAGGCAGTCCAGACAAGTTTTCACAACCCCAATGGAAATAAATCACTTTGACTTTTGTTTGGGGGTTATCATGGGTAATCCACACATATGCTCCTATGTAAGATAATTTATATAACTGTATTTATGTGAACCTGTAACTGAATAAACTTGTTTATTGAGCATAGTAAGTTTATTTAGTTACAGGTTCACATAAATACAGTTACATAAATTATCATACATACCAGCATGTGTGGATTACTCAGGATAACCCAAAAAAAGTGAGACAAAGTGACTTATTTCCATTGGGGTCCTCGTAATAACTTATTATTTAAAGAACAAAAAGGAGATATACTAGGAATAATGGTTTATTGTCAGGCAGGGTTCAGTACGGCTCACTCCCTCATGGCCTTTAATAACCAACAACAACAACAACTGAAGTTGGTATTTATTTTTACAACTTTTTGAAATTTTTCTTCACAAAGAATACACAAAATGCCTATTGTTCATTAAAATTTGAGATATTTTAACATTATAGCTCTATTATGTATTAAATATGAGTAAACATTCATTATCTTTATTATAAATGTTGGCGGGAAGTGTTTACATCAGCTGATCACTTCCTCTCTTTATCTTAAGTAAGTTAACACTTGCATTATTATATTATAGACTTTTATTACTTATTATGTAGCACAAGAAGGTGTTAATGCAAGTACAGTGAGCCTCTACGTCAAAATTACACTAAATTTACTGTTTTGGGTTAAGCTACTTGGCTGTTTTAATTTTAAAAATTTTAAATGATGAGGTATTACAAGGACGCTAATGGAAATAAATCACTTTGACTTTTTTGTGGTTATTCTGGGTAATTTGCACTATGATATTTGTACTTATGTGTATCTGTGCCTAAATAAACCTATTTAGTATCAGTGATAAATATTGGGAATCCCGTTTGTCCCAAACGTCAGGAAAATTGGTATTATTATTACTATTATTATTACTGTTATTATTATTATCATCAAAACCAAGCGCTAAACCCACTAGGGTCATACAGCACTGCAGGAAAATTGATAGGGATCAATGTAGTAAAAAAAAAATGAACGCCAGGCTAAATTATTATAATCAAAAAGAAGCGCTAAACCACAAGGGCTATACAGACGCCAGGCTAAAGTTCGTGTAGAAGACAGACACAGTGGGTACCTACTGAGGCTCACAGGACCCTGTGTCTAGCTCTTATACACTGTCATATAGATTATTCTGGCTCTTCATGGTACTCTGTCTTGTTTCCACTGGGGTTCATCAGTCTTGTCCCCCAGGATGCAACCCACGCTAGTTAACTTCACACCCAGGTACCTACTTACTGCTAGGTGAACAGGAACAGCGGGTGTAAGGAAACATATCCAATATTTCCACTCATGTCGGGGATCATATCACGGACACTCGGTGAGTAAGGCGAGAGCATTGCCAACCAAGCCACGGAACAAATCACCCAGAACAAAATAATAAATAATAATAATAATAATAATATTTTATTTCGACGTGATACAAGTTTGTACGAAATGCCTAAGCCTTCTTTGTAATTAATATCTTATAACATGTAAACCACACAGCGTAAGCTTTACAAGGAAATAAACATTTTGACTTTATTTGATTTAATAGTTGAGTGTACGTGCCAAAAAAAACTTTTTATGCAGAGCATTTCGGGCAAACTTAAAACTAACTTAAAATTAATAAGGCAATAATGGTACATATGGTCATTAGATGAGTTACAGTGAATATAAGAGAAGTGAGTATTATTTTAGGTCATGCTATATGGCTTTAAGAAGTCTTGTAGAGAATATGTACAATTTTGATTATTAACCTTAGGTGGACACAGTGAAGTGATTAACATCTGAAATGAATACAGATATTGAGAGTAAGTATATATTGATTATGGTCTTGATATACCTTGAGTATACCTGGAGAGGGTTTCGGGAGTCAGTGCCCCTGCGGCCCGATCTGAGACCAGGCCTCAGGGTGGCTCAGGGTCTGATCAACCAGGCTATTACTGCTGGCTGTACGCAAACTGACATACGAACCACAGCCCGGTTGGTCAGATATTGACTAGGTGCCTGTCCAGCGCCTTCTTGAAGATAGCCAGGGGTCTGTTGGTAATCCTCCTTATGTATGCTGGGAGGCAGTTGAACAGTCTTGGGCCCCTGATACTTATTGTGTTATCTCTCAGTGTACTCATGGCACCCCTGCTTTTCATTAGTAAGTAAGTAAGTAAGCAAGTTTATTCAGGTATACACAAATACAGTTACATAGAATTATCATACATAGCAGCATATGTGTAGAGAACCTAGGATAACCCAAAAAAGTCAGACTGAGTGACTTATTTCCATTGGGGTCCTTTGGGGTCCTTTGGGGGAATGTTGCATCTCCTGCCGAGTCTTTTGCTTTCATAGGGAGTGATTTTCGCGTGTAAGTTTGGTACTAATACCTCTAGGATTTTCCAAGAGTATATTATCGTGCATCTCTCTTGCCTGCATTCCAGGGAATACAAATCAAGGGACTTAACCGTTCCCAGTAATTTAGGTGCTTTATCATAGTCATGTGTCCCATGAAAGTTCTTTGTACACTCTCCAGGTCAGCAGTTTGGCCTGTCTTGAAGGGGGCAGTTCGTGTACAGCAGTATACCAGCCTAAATTAAACAAGCGATTTGAAGGGAATCATCATGGGCTTGGTGTCCCTAGTTTTGAAAGCTCTTATTATCCTTCCTATAATTTTTCTAGCAGATGAGGTAGATACAGTGGACCCTCAGTTAACGACATTAATCCGTTCTAGAGAGCTCGTCTTTAACCAATTCTGTCGTTATCCGAATTAATTTTCTCCATAAATAATGGAAATCCAATTAATCCGTTCCAGACACCCAAAAGTATTAAACAAAATCATTTTTTTACATGAAATATACATTTCCCTACACAGAAAACGGTGAGACATGCAGAATAAACAATACTAAAATGACACTTACCTTTAATGAAAACTTATTAATGAGTGATGAGACAGGAGGAGGGGAGAGGATGGAGGTGTACTATTGTTTGGAAGGGGAATCCCCTTCCATACAGACTTCAGGTACCAAGTCCTTTTCTGGGGTTACTTCCCTTCTTTGTTTTTTAATGCCACTAAGACCAGCTTGAGAGTCACTGCACACCTGTGGCACTAAATATCTGTCCAGAGAACTCTGTTTTTGGCATCTCTTTAAAATTTCCCTAAATTGGGACACAACATTGTCATTGCAGATGTTGCCAGCACGGCCTGCAACAGCTGTGTCAGGGTGATGTTCATCCATAAATGTTTGCAGGAAGACTGCAGCAGGTCTGTTGGCCCATACTAGGCAGGTCCTTCACAAACCATCCCACTAACAGAATCGTATTTGCCCAACCCAGTTTTCAGTGCTTCCCAAGCAATAAGCTTTGATAATTCTATTCACTCATTCACAAGTCCCACTCAGATCAAATAATGTGTGTGGGGAAGTACCCTGGCTGGTGTGTGGGGAAGTACCCTGGCTGGTATGTGGAAAAGTACCCTGGCTGGTATGTGGAAAAGTACCCTGGCTGGTATGTGGAAAAGTACCCTGGCTGGTGTGTGGGGAAGTACCCTGGCTGGTATGTGGGGAAGTACCCTGGCTGGTATGTGGGGAAGTACCCTGGCTGGTATATGGGGAAGTACCCTGGCTGGTATGTGGGGAAGTACCCTGTCTGGTATGTGGGGAAGTACCCTGGCTGCTGTACCACCATCACTACCACCCTCTACCACCACCACTTTCATATCTTTCTACCAACTTTTTCTTGAATTCTAGTGTTTCTCACCCCCGCCTTACGAACACATCGCGTTACGTTGAATCCACCATACGAGGCATTTGAATGCAAAAATTTTGCCTCGCCTCATGATGGAGAACTCGCCTTACGTGATTCGTCCGGGTCGTGTCCCACGTGTGGCCTCGGCGCCAGTGTTTATAAGCCAGCCGGTGTGGTCGCATCTACATGTGCATTCGGTGCATTTCACATTATCCCAGTGTTTTTGGTGCTTGTAACTGCAAAATAGGTCACTGTGGACCCGAGGAGGGCTTCTGGTGCCATCCCTGTGGTGGAAAGCGTGAGAATTAGCATGGAATTGAAAAAAGAGATTAAGGAAATGTGTGCAAAGTGGGTTGAACTTCAAACCTTTGTGGATGGAGATCACCCTGACACAGCTGCTGCAAGCCGTGTTGGCAGCCTGTACAATGACAGTGTTGTGGCCCATTTTAGGAAAGTCTTGGGGGAGCGGGAGGTACAGAGCTCTATGGAGGGATTTGTTGTGCGACAGAGGTCCGGTGGCTCTTGGGCTGGTCCTGGTGGCATTGGGAGAGGAGGGGAGGTGGCCCCGGAAGGGGACTTGCTACCTCGGGTCCTAATGGAAGGGGATTCCTCTTCTAGACAATAACTTCCACATCTCCCCTCCTCCCATCCCATCATTCATCACCGGATCTTCGATGAAGGTAAGTATCATGTATTCTATTCTTAGTAGAGTAGTAATTGTGCATATCTTCTTCAGTTTGTATTAAAATTGATATTTCATGTGGTAATTTTTTTTTTTTTCATTGGGGTGTCAGGAGCGGATTAGTATGATTTCCATTATTTCTTGTGGGGAGGATTAATTCGGCTAATGATGGTTTCAGCTTACGATGAGCTCTTAGGAATGGATTAATATTGTAAGGCAGGGGTCCACTGTATAAACTAAATAATATAGATCTTAATACTACTGATTGCAAAAAGGATTTAGGAGTTCTGGTAAGCAGTAATCTAAAACCAAGGCAACAGTGCATTAGTGTTTGCAATAAAGCTAACAGAATCCTTGGCTTCATATCTAGAAGTATAAATAATAGAAGTCCTCAGGTTGTTCTTCAACTCAATGTATCCTTGGTTAGGTCTCATTTGGATTGTGCTGCGCAGTTCTGGTCACCGTATTACAGAATGGATATAATGCACTAGAAAACATACAGAGGAGGATGACAAAGATGATCCCATGTATCAGGAATCTTCCCTATGAGGATAGACTGAGGGCCCTGAATCTGCATTCTCTTGAAAGCCGTAGAATTAGGGGGGATATGATCGAGGTGTATAAATGGAAAACAGGAATAAATAAAGGGGGTTTAAATAGCGTGCTGAAAATTTCCCGCCAAGACAGGACTCGCAGCAATGGTTTCAAGTTGGAAAAATTCAGATTCAGGAAGGATATAGGAAAGCACTGGTTTGGTAATAGAGTTGCGGATGAGTGGAACAAATTGCCGAGTACAGTTATTGAGGCTAAAACATTGTGTAGCTTTAAAAATAGGTTAGATAAATACATAAGTGGGTGTGGGTGGGTGTGAGTTGGACCTGACTAGCTTGTGCTACTAGGTCTGATGCGGTGCTCCTTCCTTAAGTGGAAGTGACGTGATTAGGTGGGTCATTGGGCTAATTTGGGGGAGGGGGGACATGGACCTGCTTTGCATGGGTCAGTAGGCCTACTGCAGTGTTCCTTCTTTCTTATGTTCTCTTTACCAAAGAGTTGGCACTAGAAGCTTTCTTTGGGCCCATGGTGGTTTATTTAGCAGTTACAAGCACTAAAAACAATGGAATAATACAAAATGTATCACATGTACGTGTGGAATCATCCTTACTGGCTTGTAAACAGTGGCACACTGGCTGTACATGGAGTGGTCGGGCCGCTCGGGCCACGCGGACATGTTCGGGACGAATGGCTTTAACCGAGTTCTTTGTCGTTAACTGAGCTAATATTGTGATGCAAAAACGTATCGTTATCCGATTTTTACGTTATCCGATGACGTCGCTAACTGAGGGTCCACTGTACATTGTTGTTGTCTTTGAAGGTGAGATCCTCTGACATTATCACTCCCAGGTCCTTCACATTACTTTTTTGCTCTATTGTATAGTTAGAATTTGTTGTATACCCTGATACAGTTTTAATTTCCTCAAGTTTCCATATCTGAGTAGTAGTTGAAATTTCTTTTCATTGAACTTCATATTGTTTTGAGTGGCCAATTTGAAGATTTGGTTGATGTCCGCTTGGAGTCTTGCAGTGTCTTTGATGGAGGACATTGTCATGGCAATTTGGGTGTCATCTGCAAAGGAAGACACAGAGCTGTGGCTTACATCTCTGTCTATATCAGATATGAGGATGGGGAATAGGATGGGAGAGAGTACTGTGCCTTGTGGAACAGAGCTTTTTACCGTAGCTGCCTCAGACTTTACTCTGTTTACTATTACTCTTTGTGTTCTATTTGTTAGGAAGTTATAGATATAGAAGTTATAGGTGTTGAGCAAATGCATGTATAGTTCTTACAAATGTATTTATGATGGGCTTGGATAGGTTAAGGAGATAAGGTGTTTTTTAACTGTAGTAGTTTTAAAAATGCTAGCTGAGCCAGTGATTCTAGAGATTTCTGGCAGAAAGTTCCAGATTTTGGGCCGTTTTACGTACGAGTTTTTGAAAAGATTTAGCCTGATATGGGGAATGTCATAGAGGTTTTTGTGCCTAGTGTTGTGCCTATGAATCCTATTGCAACTGTCAAGAAAGCATTTCAGGTCAGGATTTATATTAGAACTGATTGTTCTGTAAATGTAGGTTGCACAATAGTATGAGTGAATGTTTTGTATAGTGATTAGGTTTAGGTCTTGAAGAGTGGGGCGGGGGGAAATGTTGTCTAGCAGTGAATTGTGTAATCATTCACACTGTGGCTTTTTGTTGTGTTCTTATTGGTTTTAGGTGATTTGTCACTGTGGAACTCCAGGCAGAAATAGCATAGGTGAGGTAGGTGTAGATCAGTGAATAGTTTAGTGTAAGTAGTGCTGTTTGTGGTACATAGTAATGTATCTTTGAGAGGATGCCAACTGTTTCAGAAACTTTTTTTTTTGTTATGTGTTGTATATGAGTGTTAAATTTCAGGTTGCTATCAAGGTGCAGACCCAGGAATTTTCCCTCATTATGTTTAGCAATAAGGATGTTGTTAAGCATAATGTTTAGTTGAACCTCACTCTATTCCTAAGCATAATGTAAAAGGTTTTGTCTGTATTAAGTGTAAGTTTATTGACAGTCAACCAGGTTGCTGTTTTTACAAGTTCTTCATTAACAATAGTGTTGAGTGAGGCTAGATTCAGGTGGGAGATGACAAAAGTCATGTTGTCAGCAATGAGAATAGGCATAAGTTGTTGTGATACACTTGGAAGATCAGTGAGATTCATCCTGGACCTGAATCCAAGAGAGCATGTAGGTCAGGATGAATTATGACAACTGGATATGTTGAATGCTGGTGACAGAATAAAGCAACTGAAGATAAATTACGTTTTTAAAATTGCGCAAAAGCAGTGTGCATAATATCTTGCTGCCAAGTTTGTCAAGGTTGGGAACCAAAACCAGTATGGTACTAGGGAAAGTGAACACAATTTTGTAGTTCTCACAGTTGGTCAGGCTTCAAACCCCTTTTATTGTACAGCAGTAAAGGAGTGGAACAGATTGCCTGCACATGTCAAAGCCTGTCCTAATATGAGCCAGTTCAGGAAGAAGTACATTGTGTATGAAGCTACAGAAAGGGAGGATAGTGATTTCTTTTATAGCTAACACTCATTGTAAGCTGATTCTCTTTTTAATGTTTAATGTAGATATGTAACTCAGTTTACCTTATTCCTATTGTATCTCCTTTAATTGTAATTATTTTCACACAGTTGAGTCACTTAGCTGTTTTAACTTTTAAGGTTATAATCCTGATTGAGTCATACTGTAACTTACTGCTAGGCTTTAAATAATAAGATATTACAAGGGCCCCAATGGAAATGAGTCATTTTGGTTTTTTGGGGGGGTTATTCTAAGTAATTTTCACATATGTTAATCCTTTTAGCCCTGAATTGTAAAAGGCATATTGGTTCATTCTCATTTGTTGATATGTTGTGTGAGGCAGAGAGCTGCCAAAGTTACCAGATTCACAATCAAGTAGGTTTTTAGAAGGTAGTGAAGGTCCCACCAGTTTTCTATGGCTTCCAACTGTTACCAGTACATTGCTATGGTTATAGAAAAAAAGCTGGGAACCTGAAAGTCCATCAGAGCTAGAAGGGTTAAACTATTTATGATAATTGTAATTATGTGTATTTACACTTTAATAGACTTACAGGTTCAGTCCTCCCCCATGAATGTAATAATAATTTTGTATCTTATATATAATTTACAAGCAATGTATTTTTTACAATGTGGTTATAATTATAACTTTAATTATTAAAGGAGTGACTCGGTAAGCTGGCGAGAGGCCTCAGTCTGATGACCAAAAGTTCCAATGGTGGATCATCGTACAAATAAGACCCACGTCAGGAAACACTTGACCTGGCTCCCGATGACTCTTACCTAGCCTAACCTAATGTATGCTTGAAACTATTGCATATGTCATATAATGCATAATTATAATGGTGGAACTATAGGTAGAGGCAACCCAAATAAGGTTAACACAGGGGCCTTGATAGTCTGATGTGTTTAGAGAAGCCGTAGATGCAGAATAACGTAGAGAAGTTTAAACAAACAAACCACAAATACTTATTTCAAAATTACTGTACAAAATAAACAGCAGTCTGAAAGCCAGTGGGATGTACAGCATCAGTGCCCCTGCGGCCTGGTCCCAGACCAGGCCTTCTGGTGGAGCAAGGCTTGATCAGTCAGGCTGGTATTGCTAGCTACACACAGTCCAACATACAAACCACAGGGTTAATCAAGAACTGACTAGAGGAACTTAAGCTCACTCTTGAAGACAGCCACTTATTCATGTTGCTTATGTCACATAGGAATTTTGCATTGTGTATTTTCACAGTTCTGGCAAAACAGCTACTGAATGAATGATGGTGAATGTGTCTCCTTTTTTGCATTACCCTACTTTGGTAGAAGATGATCTCTGTGTTCAGAAATAATTTCACATGCTACTGAATCACTTTTATGCACTTATATTCTATAAGCTGTTGCTAATCTATAATAAATTTGAACGTTAAAAATATCACTCATATTTTTTTTGTTTTTCAGAAAATTTATTTAATATGGCAGAACGACCTGAAGACCTGAATCTGCCAAATGCAGTAATTACACGCATTATTAAAGATACACTGCCTGAAGGTGTGGCAGTGGCTAAGGAGGCTCGAAGTGCTATTGCTAAGGCTGCTTCAGTATTTGTTCTTTACACCACTTCTACAGCCAACAGCTTAGCTCAGAAGAACAAAAAGAAGACAGTCAGTGCACAGGATGTTTTTACTGCCATGAAAGAGATGGAATTTGAAAAATTTATTGAACCATTGCAAGAAAGCTTAGAAGGTAGGATTGTAATGTTGGAGTTACAGTAGAAAGTGGAGTTTATGCCATATGTTCACTTTGGTGTGTCTTCATTTTATTAGATCCTGCATACTGTACCTGTAATGTCTTATCCTGAGAAATCATCATCATGATGTATTTCTTTGTTTGTAATGTTTGTCATTTTTTTGTGTCTTGAATTTTCAAATTTTTTCCCTGCTAAACAATAAGCAATGGTTTTGCCTCATAGCACCATCTTAAATAAGTTAAGCATTGCTGTTATGTTACACACAGATAATGGAAATAAAAAGCTTTTTCATAACATAGTAGAACATCAAAAGTTACATTCAATTTGGAGCAGAAGCATTCTGAACTTTGGATCCATTCTATGGAAATGAACATTAAACTCCTAAGGGGAAATTTTCTTGGTGAAATATACAAGACAAAATCTTAGTGCTGTTCAAATAATTTATAGTGGAATATATGCTCATCAATGCTGTTTGTTGCTTTCCTCTTGTAAAAAGTCTGGAAAGGGGTATGGGTACCATGGATATGGAGTTGTTTTATTCATCAACCGTGTCATGTCAAGAGTAGGAGCATTATACAAGAAAGTTGAAGAAGATCTGAATACAGGATGTCAAGTGCCTATATCCGGTCATCATGGGACCCATAAAACACACACACATGTGTGTGTGTGTGTGTGTGTGTACTCAACTAGTTGTGGTTGCAGGGGTGAGTTCATAGTTCCTGGCCCTGCCTCTTCACTGGTCTCTACTAGGTCCCCGTCCTCGCCCCTGGTTTTATAAACCCTCTTTTTAAGGCTTGTGTGGTCCTGCCCCCCACTACTTCATTCGCGACTTTTCCCCACTTTTTGACAAATTTGGGTTAAAGAAATATTCCTAACATCCCTTGATGATCGAGTCTTAAAATTCCCAATTAAAAAAAAACCCCTTTTTTGCGTGTCTCATCTCTGAACATCCTGTTTTGCCCCTTCTCGTTTCCCTCACAGTATTTTTTGTCATTTGTGTTTTTCCGTCCCTCCTGCCCTCCGTGTCACGGCGAGTTCTTTTAAACCCTTTCCCCCAGGGGGAACCCCCCTTAGCTCCAGGAGCAGTCTTAGTTTTGATGTCTGCCAGGTGGCGGCATACCCCCAATAATTGCAAGGGTGTGAACAAAAACAGGCATGCGTAAGCTGTTAGATAGGAATGGAAAAGTGTTGGAGTGTAACCAAGGGTAATATTTTGGAAAGATTAAAGGGACCCCGGTTTGGGATTTGGCCCAGTAGGTGGGGGGTTTTAAGTCCCCTAAATCTAAAGGAGGGTTGGATTTTTTGCGTTTAGAGGGACTTCTGGACTGTTGTTCTGTAGACTCTGGTAAGAAGTGATGTATAAATGGGTGAAATTTTTTTTTTTTTTAGTCATTTTTCCTAGGGGGAGATGATCGCACTTTAAAAAATTTTATTGATTGAAAAGTATTTTCTTTTTGGGATTTTCTTTTTTTTTTTGGGCACCCTGTCGGTGGGAGATGGCCGACTTGTTAAAAAAAAAAAAAATATATATATAAATTTATAAATATAGGTAGTAGGGTTGGTAGACAGCAACCACCCAGGGGGATCCCGTCCTGCCAAGTGAGTGTAAAACGAAACCCTGTGATTGTTTTACAGATGGTAGGATTGCTGATGTCTTTTGTCTGTCTCAAAAAATATGCAAGATTACAGGATTCTTGTACTTCTACTTCCCTTAGGTCACACTCACATACATTACACTTTATTTATCACACTCTCTGATTTTTTTTTGTTTTTTCTTAATGTTTTTGGTCTTTTTAAATTTTCCTTTTAAATTTCCAGGGGGAAGGGGAAATAAAAATCTTTTCCGAAAGCATGCGGGGTTGAAAAAAGTCAACAAATCCCGGGGGAACAATGGGCTATAACCCTTTTCTGTAAAGATTACTAAAAAGAATAAGAAGAAAAATTGTCAAAGGGGGAATTGAAGGCGTGGATGTTGTGCAGTGATAAGAAGGGTTGGGTTTTATAAATAAGAAGAAGGGGATGCCCTGGTTTTAAGTGAAACAAAGCTGAAGGGGGTGGGAGAGTTTCAGTGGGGGGAAAATAAATGGGATTAGGCAGGGTTTAAAAATAGAGTTAGAGCTAAAAAAGGGGGTAGCAAAAATGTTAAAGGAAAAGTTATGGCGGAAAAGGGACTAAAAATGTTTAATCAAGGGATTATTGGAGTAAAATAAAGTTTGGATGGAAAGGGGGTTATAAAAGGGTATGCCCTGGAGAAGAGAGAATGTAGAGGAGGAGAGAGTTTTGGGAAATGTTGGTGAATGCGGGGGGGAGTTTTGAATCAAGTGTGAGAGAAATGGTGTTGGGGATTTTAATGCAAAAGTGGGAAAAAAAGTTTTGGGGGGAGTAGTAGGAAAATTTTGGGGTGCCAGGGGAAATGAAAAAGGGGGGACCCTTTAATTGAGCTTGTGTAGAAAGAAATTGGAATGTAATAAAAATTTTTATAAAAGAGGTAAATAAATTAAAAGGTAAAGTAGCACTAATGAAAGTATTTATTGTTTTATGTTTGGGGAAAAAGGGGTTTGAGGGGTAGGCTCCAGGTGTACTTTTTATAGAGGGGCAACTGATATATCGGATCATTATTTAGTTGTGCTACGTTGAGTAAGAGGTGATGGGAAAAGGGAAGGTGGAAAAAAACAAGTAAGAGGGAAGTGAAAGTGTAAAAACTAAGGGGGGAGGAAGTTGGGTGGATATAGGCGACTAGGCAGAAAGGTGGGCTTATGCAAAATGGTAGTGGGGGGTTGAAGGGGGGGTTGGAAAATATTTTTTAAAAAAAATGCAGTATTAGAATGGGGGCAAAAGTTTGTGGTTTATAGGGGGGGGGGGCAGGAGGAAAGAGAGTGATTGGGGGAATGATGAAGTAAAGGGTTGATAAAAAAAAAAAAAGGTAGCTTATGAGGGGGTTTTTTTTCAAAGAAAAAGTGTTTAAAAAGAGCAATATATGGAAGAAAAAAAAGGGTAAAGGAGTGGTGAGAGAGTGCAAAGGAGAGCAATGATAGAGTGGGGAGGCACGTCAAAAAATTTTTAATGAAAATAAGAAAAATTTTGGGTGAGTTAAAAAATTTAAGAAAGCCTAGGGAAAATATGGTTTTTGTCTTAAAAACGAGTAGGGGATTAGTGGGGGGAAGGGAGGTTTGGGTAGTTGGCGGAATTTTTTGGGGAAAACTTTTAAATTTTAAGAAAAAACAGAGGCAGTAATTTCATGCATGTGGGGGAGGTATCCATTTTTTTAGGAGTGAAGAGGCGAATGTAAGTGTGGGGGAGGTACGTGAGGCATTAGAAAAATGAAAGGGGGTAAAGCACGGGAAAACTGTGGGATCTGACAGAAATGTTAAAAGAGGGGGGGATATGTGTTGAGTGGTTGGGTACTTTTTTTAATAAAATGTATGAAAGGGGGGAAGGTACTAGGGATTGGCAGAGAGCATGTAGTCCCTTTTATAAAAGGAAAGGGGAAAAAAGAGACTGAAAAAATTTGAGGAATAGCTTCTGGTAACCAGGAAAAGTGTACGGTAGGGTTATAATTGAAAGAATAGAGGAAGACAAATGTGGGGATTCGGAGAGCAAGGGGGTTTTAGAGGGTGGGGGATGTGTAGATCAGGTTTTTACATTGAAGCAAAATTTGAACAGTATTAGATAAAGATAGGGAAGTTTTTATTGCTTTTATGGATTTAAAAAAAGGATATGATAAGGGGATGAGGGCAATGTGGCAGAGTTTGAAAGTAATGGAATGGTGGTAAGTTATAAATGTGTAAGGTTTTTATGAGGATAGTGAGGCTCAGGTTAGGGTGTGTAGAAAGAGAGGGAGATACTTCCTTTTTAAAATAGGTCTTAGACAGGGATGTGTAATGTCACCAGGGTTTTTTAATATTTTATAAGGGGTTTGAAAAGGAATAAATGTGGGGTTTTTTTGGGAGAGGGGGGGGGATTAAATTAGGGGGGAATCAAATTCAAAATGGGAATTGACCAGTTACTTTTTGTGATGATACTGTTTATGGGAGATTTAAAGAAAAATGCAAAGGTTGTGGATGAGTTTGGGAATGTGTGTAAAGGTAGAAAGTTGAAAGTGAACATTAAAAGAGTAAGGTTAAAGGGGTTCAAATGTTTTTAGATAAAAAAAATTGGATATAAAAATTGGGAGGAGGAGTAGGAAAAGTGAATGTTTTCAGATCTTGGGGTTGACGGTCGGGGATGGATTATAAAAGGATGGGGTTTAAATCATAGAATTGATGGGAAAAAAAAGGTGAGGGTGCTTTTAGGTTATGTGGGGTAAAAAAACGTTATCTATGGGGGCAAAAAGGGAATTATGAAAGTATAGTAGTACCAAACCCTTAATGGGTGTGAAGCTTGGGGGGAAATGCGCAGGAGGGAGGGGGGCGCGGAGATGTCCTGTTTAAGGGCAAGTGTGGTGTAATATTATGCGGGGAAAAATTCGGAGTGTAAAAATTAGGAGAAGGTGTGGAGTTAATAAAATATTTCAGGGGGCAAAAAGGGGGGTTTTGAGGTTTTGGTCATTTAGGAAAATGGATCAAGTAGAATGACGGGAAAGCATAAAATCTATAGGGGAAGGAAGGCGGGGTAGGGGTCTCCTCGAAAGGGGTTTGGAGAGGGGGGGTAAGGGGGTTTTTGTGGGAAGGGGCTTGGATTCCAGCAAGGTGCGTGAGCGGTTAATTTGGAGTAAAGGGAGACGATGGGTACTTGGGACCTGACGATCTTTTTGGAGGTGAGAGGTAAATTTGTGAAGGGATTAGGGAAACCCGGGTTATTTTAATAGCGGATTGAGTCCGGGAATGGGAAGTACAATGCCTGCACTTTAAAGGGGGGGTTTGGGATTTTGGGCATTTTGGAGGGTTTGTTGTGTATTTTATATGTTTATGCTTCTAGCTGTTTTTATTTGAGCCCCTCGCAAAAACAGTGATAATGTGGAGTGTGGTGAAAGTTTGAATGAGATAAAAGTATTTTC